TTGCGTTGACCATCGAGTGCAAATGCGAGCTCGTCATTACTCGGAACTTATCAGTTCGTGAGCGTTCGTGTGTCACGAGTCACATGTCCCCACTCCGCGACATCCCGTCTCCGTGCACTTCTCTTGCAGTGGTACATTGACCCGTAGCCGTGGTCTATACGTGTCAACCCGCTGGCAACTCTGTCCATACTGAAGGCTTCCTCAAACATAGAAGTGTTCTTTCGTTCACCAGACGACTTGGTGGTGGTGGTGGTGGTGGTGGTGTGTGTGTGTGTGTGTGTGTGTGTGTGTGTGTGTGTGTGTGTGTGTGCGTGCGTGCGTGCGTGCGTGTGTGTGTGTGTGTGTGGGTACGTGTCTGTACGTGTGTTCGCCTCTCCTTGCTTGCCCTCAATGTGTGTTGGCCTCGTCTCAACGCTGCCGCTTGTCCTGGAACACACACACACACACATGCGAACACGCATGCACATACACATCCAGGCATGCTGATGATGCACAAGATTGCCCGCCTCGAATACGTGCCGCTCGGTAAGCACAGTGGCAGTCCACCCAGTCCCATCCAACACCCAACCTCATGGCATCTGCGTCGTCCATGCACACCCACACCCTTCCACGCATCAACGATGCACCACCCTCACACCACATCACACTACACCCTCGAACACGCTTCTCTCCTCTCTCGACACGCCTCCATGACACCACCCCAATATGCGCGTGTGCGCGTGGCAGGCGTGCTCGGTGCAATTATCCCGTGGAACTACCCGTTCCACAACATGTACGGCCAGATCATCTCTGCCCTCTTTGCCGGCAACGGCATCGTCCTCAAGGTCTCCGAATACGCTTCGTGGTACGCACCGTGGTAGAGGTTGCGGTGGCGCTGGCGCTGATGATGACAGCATTGCTGGCGTTGATGATGATGATGATGATGATGATGATGATGATGATGATGATGATGATGATGATGATGATGATGATGATGATGGCACGATGCAGTGGCTGTCATTCAACTACACTCTTGTGTCTGCAGCCGTGACTGCCCACACCGCTAACCACGTGCGCCCAATGTTTACTCTCCTCATCCCCCAATGGCGGTGCGTTGTGCAGGTCGAGCCGGTACTACCTGAGCATCGTGCACGCCGCCCTTCGCGCCGTGGGATACAGCCCAGACCTCGTCCAGGTAATGGGCACTGGTGGCGATCGTGGTGGCAGTTCGTCAGGACAGAGTACAGCCAGCGGCTATTGCCATTCTGTGCTGATGAACTTTTTTTATCACCCACACGCTCACACAAGCACACGCACATACACACTCACACACTCACACACTCACACGCACATACACGTACAACGCTTGCACACACACACTGCACACGTGCGTTGCGTCAGGTTGTGACGGGCTTTGGCGCGACGGGCGCTGCGCTGGTGAACGGGGGCGTGGACAAGGTCGTGTTCATTGGGTCGCCCGGCGTGGGGAAGCTCGTCATGCGCGCAGCAGCGGACACCCTCACCCCCGTGGTGCTGGAGCTCGGAGGAAAGGATGCAGCCGTTGTCTGCGAGGACTGCGACTTTGGACAGGTGCAATCATGGTGGTGGTGTAGGTGGTGGTGGTGGTGGTGCCGTGGATCCATCCCATCACCGTTTTATCAATCCTGCGTCGTAGCATTGATGCGCCGTTGCTGTTCATGAGCCGCCACCACCATCAGCACCACCACGACACGAACTCATCATCACCCTTTTTTCCCGTCCCATCCCTCCTTGTTCCTCGTGTGTGTTTGCTGCTGGTGCATCAGGTGGTGAACCTTGCCCTGCGCGGCACGTTCCAGAACTGCGGCCAGAACTGCATTGGGCTCGAGCGCATGATCGTCCACAAGGATGTCTACGACAAGTTCGTCGACGCCCTCGCCGCCAAGGTGTGCCCAGGACAGCACCTGACGCGTGTTTAGTCTCGTCTTGACTCGTTAAATCGTTTGTGTGTCCATCCAACACCACCACACTCACCACTCGTCACCCCCACCATCATGGCCATCATATCTCCTGCCCCCTCCCCACTTTTTTGTTATCAGGTCGGAGCCCTTCGCCAGGGCGCGCCCCTGGCCGGGGACGTGGACTGCGGCGCGATGACGATGGGCCGTCCGGCTGCGGAGAAACTCGAGAAGATGGTCGAGGAGGCTGTCAGGTCTGGGGCGCGGCTGCTCGCTGGCGGCCACGTCAACACCATCGCCGGATGCAGCGGTGGATTCTTCCAGCCAACCCTCCTCGGTACGCACACACCAAGCACAGGAGGCCGTGTGTGTGAATGTGTGTGAATTCGTGTGTGATCGCGTCTGTGTCTGTCTGTGTGTGTGATCGTGTCTGTGTCTGTCTGTCTGTCTGTCTGTCTGTCTGTGTGTCTATCCATCTGCTTGTCGCTGACTGTCCTTACTGTCCCGCTACCACTGCTACCACTGCTACCACTGCTCGACATAACCACCACAATAACCACCACCACCACCACCACGTGTGCTGT